CAAGAACTCTCGCGTCCACAGCTTAGCGTTTGCTGGGCAGTGCTGCTTCTGGACTTGGAACAAGTCTTGCAAAGAAACGACCTCGAAGGTGCTGAAAGCTTGCAGGTACCACTGCCACTGAGCCGAAACGGACGGCAGCACGAGAGCACAGGGCCGGTGCAGGCGTGAGAGCAAGTGCAGGGGTGGCAGTCACCGCTGCCGAAAGCTGCCTCTGCCAGGTTGACTCCTAGGCCCACAACGGATCTTCCGAGACGAGAGAAGCGCTTCCCCAACTCAGCGGAGGGCCGCTGATTGTGACCGTTGTGACCCCAGATTGGCATTGGCGGCGCTCCTTTGGCCTTTGGAGCCAACAAGCTGCTCAAAACGCCTTTTGAGCTCAGCTTGGGCTTGAGCCGCTCTGATTGCTTCCCGGAGGCTTTTGCCTGAGTCACAGCCCTGCGAAGAAACAAGAGGGCGCCGATGGGCTCTCGGGGAAAACTGAGAGATCCAGCTTTGCTCACGCCACCTGGTGTTCAGAGGCCTGGGAGCACCAATAAGTGCCTAAAGGTGATCCTCAAGTCTTGAGTCTTAAGGATTAGGCAGTGCCGAATCACAGGCTTTGGCAGCTTTGGCAGCCTTGGATGCTGACAGGGAAAGAGCGGCCCACTCCATTCCACTGCAACAGACATCTTGGATCTGGCCTTGCTGCTTCCTCGATACCTCTAACCAAGTGCACCATGCTTTGATGGCGCTTCCGGTGACTGCACAGCTTTTGCCTGCTGTGTGAAGTGCTCATGGCCGTGCCAGCCACACTGCCACCACTGCCACCCTGGACGGAGCGGGGCCCAGCATTGACAAAGTGCGGCACACGCATCATCCCTTCACCTCCATGAAGACACGCTGCTTCTCAGCACGGAAGACCGGCCGTTTCTGTGGAACAGAATTGAAAGCGACGGGAAACTCAGACCTTCGAGCATCAAGTCCCAACCTTGCTCACTTTCAAGCAAATGGCCTGACAAAGTTTCTGACTCGGCTCAGCTTCAAAGCTCTCCCCGTTGACCTGGTGCTTCGCAATGCGGTCGGCACTAAACGTGCGTCCGCAAACTTGGCCTGAAATGGTCTGGAGCTCAAGGCGAGTGTGCAAATATGTGGACGACTCTGTGTCGGACATGGCAGGAGCACAGAATCGGCGCCAGCACCTGGCAACAGAAACCCTCGCGAAGGCCTTTCGAAAAAGCAGTTGGAGCGCACCGTGTTGGTCCATCGGCGTCCGTCGGCCAGATATCTGAGAGGTGCATCACCACAGCCATCAGCCACTCCCCTTTTCGCGCAGTGCTTGGCCGTGGCCCGCCTCGTTCAAAGGGACTTCCCTTCCACACCGTGCCTGGGCGATTGCTCTCAATTAAGCAGTAAGCACAAAAATCATCGCCTGCTGAGATTCCCCGCTCCTTGAGAGCTGGTTTGCGAGATCAGGCCTCAAAGAACTCACTGCGGTGCCTAAACCCTGCACCCCCATGTAACCCTGACTAAGTAAGCACCCAACGTCCGCTTGCTGCCGTCGCAGTGCCCCGACGGTCCTTTTCACATCGCTAAGCAGATTCTGAAGATACTCGGCAAGACATCTCAAGACAAGGGAAGGTCCTGCTGGAGCCTTTGTCTCAGCTGGGCACTTTGACCCGTTGGCTTGGCACCCGCCGCCTTCCTTGGCCAACGACGACTTTGTCCGCTTTTCCCGCAGCTTCACGTCTCCAGACGCTAATTGTTCTTGGTCCGGCCAGGTTGACCATTTTCGGCGACCGCAAAGTTCCCATCGTCCACCGGCACAAGGCACAAGACATATGCAGTGCAGCACCGGTGCCACGTGCAGCATGTCTGCGCACAGATGCTACAACTTCCGAACCTGCCGTTCCTTGAGATGCATTGAGATACTTGAACGCGACCCAGCTCACACGAAAATGATTCGCCGTTGACCAGGTATCTCCCTCCGCCAAGCGTTTGTGGCGGGTGAGCTCTGCGATGTTTTCAGAATATTCTTTTATCAGAGCAGATTCTAAAGCATGCGGGGCATAGGTCCACTTCTCTTGTTTGTTCTTGCAATCCGATTCGAGAAGCTTGCCAATGTTGCAAAGTCAAGTTTTTTGTGAGGTATCCACACATCAGGCCGACCCAGCGAGAGAAGCATGCAACGGTGCTACCCAGCAACGGAGTGCTTGCAAGCGTCGCAACTTTGCACGACAGGATATGCGAGTCCATTTCGAGCTGTGTCACCTCGTGGTGCCGTTGCAGGAATTTGCCACACCTGACGGGCTTCATCTCAGCCCCGTGCAGCCATAGCGCAATACGGGCATTCATGCATCTGGCTCTGAACCTCGAAAACGGACAGGGGGCTCAATGCAGCGGTAGGAGCACAGGTTGCTGGAGCTTCGACAGTTTTGCTTCTCTAGTGACGATTAGCAAAGCCGATTGAACATAACGCGAGCATTCAAGAGCGTCATCCGTGCTATCAGGACATGTTCAGAAAGGGCTTAATTTGACGTGTGGTTGCAAGGCCTTCTTCTCGCAACTTTTGCGATGGTGCGGCAGAGAGTGTGCAAAGAACTTGCCGCCGCATAAGTCGCAGAACCTTGGCACTTTGTTGGCACAGTTCGGTGAAGGGGTGCACGTGCGTCACGCAGGCAAGCTTAGGTCTCAAGGTGCACAAAACCCCTGGGGGCTAATCTGGAAACTCTAACCTTGAGACCTTAAGTCAGACGGAACGTTCAGCCTTCTTCGAAGAGAAGGCTAGGCTTTCAGTTTAACTTCCTCTGTACCGTGATATCTCGCACTGCTGGGCTCAAAGACTTGAGGGCCGGAGGCGTGGAAAACGAAAGCTTAGCGGTTTATCCATGGATATTTTCTTGGCAGGTCAGCGAGCTTTCATCCGTCGTCGTAGTAGCAGCAGCAGCAGTAGTCGTAGTGGCAGTGGTAGGGGTAGTAGTAGTAGTAGGGGTAGTAGTAGTACTGGTAGTAGTAGTAGTAGTAGTAGTAGTAGTAGGGGTAGTAGTAGTACTGGTAGTAGTAGCCGCAGCAGTAGTAGTAGTAGTAGTAGTAGTAGTAGTAGTAATAGCAGCATAGGCAGCAGTCGCAGTGAGCAGTACTAGTAGCGGTAGTGGTACCCGTAGTAGGGTGGATCCCCGTTGTTTGCCCCAGTTCGTTTTCCGAACAAAGTGCAAAAAGCATGGCAGAGCCGATGTTTTCGTACGTTAGCAATGTTCAACAAGGCGTCCCCGTTATGATGATATGCCGAGCAAAAACGCAACAGACCCGATGTTTCTGCGCGGCCGGATGTGTTGATTTAGAGAGGGCAGTGCAACGACAGGACGGGATGGGGTGGGCCCCCAGTTGATACTTCAGGCTTGACAACGTGAATTGTAGGTCACGACGGCCCCAAACTGTGAGCCTCGGCTTGGGTAATTCGTTTTGTGTTCCTCTTGGCACAGCGGCATATTCCTGTCCACGGCTTTCATGTCTGCAGCACAGCGCAACAGCGCGCCACTCCAGAAACGTCTTCACACCCTGACCGATTGAATCATGCGCAGGCTTGTAAGCCAGCTCGAGACGGAAGGTCGTCAGAGGCCGGTCGAGCGGAAGGGAAGGTACATCAACTGTGCCAGCGTGCATGTCACCCATTCAGTTTGCGCTCTCAACGTTGCGACGAGCCATGAACGGCTAATCATGGGCTTCGAATGACTATCTTCTACGGATATGAATACCAGACTTGCTTCATTCGACTCGCAACAAGTTCTACGATTACCGTATTGGAAAGCCTTGATCCCTCTCTCAGAAAAGAGCTTGCTTTTGGTGTTCCTTCCCGGGCCCCTCCGCCTAGGCCCACTTGGCATATCAACCGCCTTGACCTGAGCAGCCGGTTCCCTCACCCCGTCCTACTCCCGGCCAGGCCTGCGCTGAACCCCTCCCCGGCATACCCTCCCACACCCTAAAGATCTAAGCAGAAACAAGCAAAGGAAGGGCTTCCTCCACATGCTTGTCGGGGTCAAACAGTCAGCATTCTGCCTACGAGCACGAGGAGCGCACGTGACCCATGATGGGCGCGACAATTAGCATGTCAACTGCGCCGGCTCGCATCTCAACAGGATGTCAGTGAGTGCACATGCGATGTTCAAATGTTGGCGAAGGCAGGAGGGTGGCAGCGCCAACCTAATGGTTTTAAGGCCTTTGGCTCAGTTGACGGACTTCCATGGGCTCGAGCCCCGGCTAGGAAATGGCTAAGAAATGAAGGGTGCCCAACGATTCGGGAGCTGAGAAATAAAAGGAAGTTAAGAAATGAAGGGTACCCAACGCTGGAAGCTTGCATTTCCTATCTAGGGGATGCACTGTATTCAATCACACTTCGCTCCAGGCTCCTTCGAATCGGCATGTAAGGCTCCCGCACTTCGCGAGGCGGCATTCTGTGTCCATGTGAAGAAACTCAGATGTAGGCAGGTGCCTTTTCAATGGTGTTTCAGAAGGCGTCAATAACGCCTCTGCTCGATAGGTGCTGCTGAATGATGCTGCATGTTTGAATCTTCGTCTGCGCTTCGACCACACGTGCTGGACCGGCATCAGAAACATTCAGAAACGCTAAAAATGCTCCGGGTGCCTGCGTCGTGCGAAAAGAGCACTCGACAGCTGCAACAGGGAAGACATCACTTTCGACATGGGGTCACAATAGACCCAGGTCTCAAGATCTGTCAAAATGCACGACGGGCATTACTTTGCCATGAGGCCCCGGGCTGCTGGTGAGGCTTGATGGCGATGTATGAATGCTGGAATTGAATAGAGCATGCAATCTTTCGGTGCATGCGCACCGCGGGTCGTCGTAGCTTCGGTGAAACATGTATTGTCACGAGCGACGTGTGAGACGAACGAGCAACTCTGCGGATGGGCCTGTGAACAAACCGTGTCCGTTTCCCCTTGGGGGTGTCTTGCATGGCGCTGTTCGCAGAGTCCGATTCTGGGCAGGGCTTGGGGTGCCGAAAGTCCTACAACTCTGCCAGGTGCAGCTCATCCAATGCCAGTGCGGCAGGGGCCTGTTTCGTCGGAGCCTGACAAAGCGCAAAAGAACCGCTGAAGAGCCGAGCGCTGCAGCGATCGCCTCTCGGAGTGGACGATCTGGCCATGCCTGGGCCTGGCCGAAAAGTCGCGCTGCTGCGAGGCAGCGAAAGGTCGAAAGGCGACACGTCCCTCAAGGCTGCCTGGTCAATCTTGGATGCAGCATGCCCGAATCCAAAGGTCAATTCACCAGGCAAGATCACCTGCGCAATGCAAGTAACAATCTTTCGACAAATCTCTGCTCCCCTGACGTGCAGCATGTGAGACACCGAAGCTCATGCACTCTCTACCGGTCTCCTGTCTCGTGTCGTGGCCTCTCCATACTTGTGCCGGCGTTTTACCTTGGCAGGGCCGTTACCTGACAAGACATAAGGAGAACTGCCGGCATCTGCAGACTGCAGAGATCTGCAGAGTTCGGAGCAGACGGGGTAGCACCAAGGCGGGGCCTCGAAAGTCACTGACGGCCGGAAGCAGAGGAAGCAGCTGAACCGCTCCGTCCTGTCTCGAATGTTCAGGACCTAGGACCTGTGCAATCATGGCTAAAGTATTGCAGCATATTGCAGCTTCACAGCTCTCAAAGCGGAGGCTGAAGTCAAAACCCCTGAAGCCCACGCAGGAGATCTCTGCTTTCCGTCTTTGCAGCTGCGGCTGCTGGCTGTACGAGTGCTGTTTTCGCTTATCGACGAGACTTCGCAGAGAAGCCTTGCAGAAGTTCCGTCACATACACCAAGTGACTCTCGGACACAGTCTCTTGGGAACAGCGTCTGAAAGAGGACATGCGACGGTGATGAAGTCGCTACAGGTTTCGGCCTGTGGCCAAGGGTTCCGCATGACCAGCTCCGAAGGCTTCACGGGCCCGCCAGGCACGTCAGTCTCACAAGGCGCGTTCCGCATCACCGAGTCACTGAGCAGTGCTCACGATCACACTAAGCGCCAAGAGAGCTCTGGACCTCCTGCAACTCGACGCAGGGCTTCGTGGAGCTGTCGCCGTGGGGACCTCAGTCGCGCAAACAATTACTATCGTGCACCCTCGTCTTCCCCGCAAAGCGAAGAGCCGCGGGTTAGGAAATACAGTTTGATGGGCTTGCAGAGGAGTTCAGAACCTCAGGTTTCACGACTTCCTGCCAAGACCTAGCAGATTGAATTCAGACGGTCGGCCATGCATGCGCATGGATATGTTCTAGTTCTGATGACTCTTGATGTCCGCCGACTCCCGCGACGGTCGAGGCCCGATAGTCGTTGTCCAGCCCGTCCTGCCCTTTGAACTGCACTTGTGGCGGACATGCATGTGGCGAGCCTCAACTTGGATGCCTCGGACACTGCATGCACGATTCATGCCTGCACGGCCGTGCTGATTTCAACCCATCTAAGAGTGCCTCGGGCCTCCGAAAATCACTTGCAGGGTGCGAAGCTTCTCAGAAAAGCAGTTACTCTTCTCATCCAAGCATTTTGAACAATCTGCGCCGGAACAAGACCAGCATCCAAATACTCCAGCCCTACTCAAGTTCTGCTCTCGTCGATCAGAGCAACCATCTGTAAACATGATTTGCCGTTTAATGAGAATGGTTCTCGTTGCTCCGAAAAAGTAGCACCCAGCTGGACTTGGCTCAGGTGACTCAACTAGTGAGGGCTCGTCGGCCTCCAATTCTGCCATTATGTCAGCCAAGCCGGATGTTCTACCAGTTGACGTGAGTCTCGAACCATCTTGGAGGGAAGATGGTTCTGAAGTTAAATTCCCATGGCAAAGCACGAAAGGGCAGGACAGGAACAAACGAAACGCTTGCAGCTGCAAAGTGATGGACAGCCTGGACTGCTCCAGTACGCGACACCCTTCCTGGAAGCATACTCCTCCTGGCAGACTCTTCCATTGAGCTGGACTCCACTGTGTCGCAGGCCCATCACAACAGGAGAGTTCGGCGAAGCCACGGCACATGCCTCGCAGTCGCAATGCACAACTTACACTTGGCTTGCTTCGAGACGACGATCGGAAGCTACCTGGACTCATTTTTTGCCAACCTCCTCTCTCAACTCTTCCGGCCCGGTGCTTCAGTTAGGTTCAGTTGCTGAAGCCTAGAAGAAGGGAGCACTCAACGGTTCAACGGCCACCTGTGGCGTGCAGAACATCGCGTGGCATACTGGGAAGCTGCCAGCGGGTGCTATTGGCATGTCCATGACGATCTCGACAAGACATGCCTGCGAAGCAGAGTCGAGCTGTCTGAACTCAGCATGGGAGCACGAGATATGTCATTGGTCATGTCGGTGACTTCTTCAGCTGCCTCTGCATCATAGGTTCTGCATAACCTTGGATGAACGGCGTAGTTTGCACTAAGCCGAGGAGATCTGAGCGATGCAAGGGTAGTGACAACAACGCAAGCTGCTACCTTCTTTCTTGCCATATGCATGGCACTAGAAACTATGAAATTGCGGAAAATGCGGAAAGTCCTGCAATCTGGCTTCTCATGCAAACCTGAATAGATGCCATACGCCATACGCCATGTCACTGAGTCGTTTCTTGGCAGGTCTTCGTCAAGTGAATGCCTGAATAAGACCGGTGTCATCTTCAATCTGCGTCCGTCATGCTTTTCAAGATGGTACTCGAGCAAGAAGTCGCCTGCTGCATGCTGCACTGGCTCCGAACTCTTGGGCCTCAGAGAACTCTTGGGATGTTGTGCGCGATCCCGCAACGTCTGCTGATGCGATGCTCGCTCCTCTCTCCCCAAGGGCGCGGCAATGGCGGTGGCAATGGCATCTGAGGCAACTCGCTGAGGGAATCGGCATCACTGGATGCCCAAGCAATCTCCATGGCCTCAGAAGACCCGGAGCCCAGAAATGAGTGTTAATATTAAGGCCGTTGCTACAGCTATTGGCCTCCAGGCGGTCGTCCTGAACTGCCAGCTGGCCACCCTTCAAGTCAGGAGCCAGTGGCTTTGGCGTATCCACGGATTTGTTCTCCAATTTGTCTGGCTCAGCCATGGAGTAATACTCCTTCTGTCCAGTATCGAAGACATAATCCAGAAATGGCTGCTTGAGTGGTCCATCCCGAACAATGAGGTCTCCACTCAGGTCCATGACCTGCCCGTCAGCAGCTTTGGCCTCATCCAAAGATGGAGTTTTGGAGACACATTCTTCTTCCTCCCGCGTGGCTTCACGCGTTCTCAAAGACACCGTCACTTCGCGGCCGTTGATACGATACCGCCCCTGTGCTTTACGAATGATTGTGTTATCCTCGAGTATCGCTGGCCATTTCTCGCATAGCTGTTGGATCTCTTGGTCAATGATGTCTCGCGACAAGAAACCCGGCAGCGCATCCCTGCCAGCAAAACAGATGTCACGACAGCCAGCTTCAGCAAGCTTAAGAGAGCCTTCGGCGCATCAGCTGCAGGTTGGGAACGCGCGGCGACGACGGTGCTTCTTGCAGCCTGGCAGACTGCAGCGTCTTATGTCACGACTCCGACCAGTGACCAACCAGTGAGAGTGCGATGTCAAGCGCAGGCTTACAGGCACTCGGGATCCATCCGGGCAGTCAAGGCGTGGTGAGATGCAGACATCCCTCAGCCCCTTAAACAGTCAAGCCAACGGGAACGAACCTGGAATCCAACCCCATAACCCCCACACCTTTTTGAGATGCCTCTGTATTCCTCTGATTTCCGCTCCGGAACCCGCCAGAAACCACGTCAAATGCCTAGTCTCAAGGCCTCTGCTTATGGGGAAGAGATAGATGGAAAGAAGGGTTTGGAGGGACTCCGTGTATCTACGAAGCCTCGAACGGCTGTGATCTAGCCCGCTGTGACAGCACACCGGCCCACCTTCGACTGAATACTTTGTTGCTGCCATGGCCAGTACAACCTGCGAGACAAAATTGTCGCAACAGCGCTTCACAAAGTGTAGCCTGCTTGCATTCCTAGTTCAATGCTGCCACCTGCCCACCGTGGCTAGCCCATGCTGGCAAGGGGAAAACTAAGAGCTAACCAAAGACAGCGTTGGAATACTGGGAGGCTGCTGCGAGCAGGGCAGATGGATGATTAATCGTGGTGGCATTCTGCAGGCTTCAATGGAAGGGGGAAAGCAATGCCACGAGGCTCTGGAAGTTGAGATAGGCTGGAGTGCTGCGGGGTCTTTAAAACTGACCAGAGCCGGAACAGCAAGCACATCCACCATGTCGGGCAATGGGGCTGGCAACGCATGCGGCATGGTGTGCAAAATCGGAATCTCCGAAGGTCAGCACATGTCAGCACTGATTCGGCACTTGCAGACCAGCAGGTGCTATGTGTTCTGACATTTCTGACATTGGAACGCTGCATCTTCGAAACGCACATGAACTCCAGTTGGCCTCGGTGCAGGTCGTGTCATGAGACATCAGGAGACCAACAGCCAACGGTGATCTTGGGCTCACACCTAGATCACGGCAGTGGTGCCCTCGTCGTCGTCAACCGCAACAGCACCATCCTGCTCACTGAAAAGGAGGTGCCGTGCAGCGGCCCATGCGGTGTACGCGGCGGCCTTGAGAGCCGGCCGCTCCTCGGAGCGCTTTTGGCGGCTCGCGCTGCGCCGGCTCCGCGAGCGCTCCCGGCGCTTGCGATCGCGGCTGCGGCTGCGGCTTTTCCGCTTCCTCTGTGAAACAAAGCTTCCGCGCGCTTCTTGCACCTTCTTGCAACCCTTGCGCGGCCTGTCTCTTTCTCTGCTCCTTTCCCTCTCCTGTACATCACACATGGACTCACTTGGACTCATGACAGACCTGTATGCACATACACACCAAAAATGCGGGAAGTAGCCTTCGCCTTTCGATCCTTTTCCCTGCTCGGTGCGCGTGTGTAAGGCATCACGTACGGCCATGCAAGCACCGCAGAAGATCACCTGTCACGTTCTCTGTCGTCGTTGCGTCTCGAGCCACCAGGAGCCTGAGCCAATCAACATGGAGTTTCTGCGTGAGTGCATGACTAGCCTCAGTCGATTCTTTGGCTCCCGGCCCGATCCATCAGAGCACGAGACCCACCGCTATCAAGGTCACGCCTCCCCTTGCCGCCTCCAGCACCCCGGTCATCACGGCCCTTGCGCCGGAGATACGTGAAATGTAAGATGGCTCACTCTGCAAGATTGTGGCACGGAACTGAGAATGCGGCTGACCCTCCTTTTCCTCCTCCCCGCATCTGCGCCCGCATAAGGTCCCGTGACCTTGAGATTCGAATTCACTTCGGCCAAGCCATGCTGAGGTGGCCGTTTGTCGGGCCATGAAGGCAAGAAGCGTCATCAAATTGCTACCTCGAGCTTCGAAGTCCCGAGCATCTTGTGTCCTGCAGGAGGCGACGGCGACGAGAAGCGACACTGTAAGATCCACATTTCGTCCTTGCCGGTGCCATTCGCCACTCGGCCTTCAGGCTCACGCCGTCCTTGTGCTTCTGCTGTGGCTTATAACATGGCTTCCACTCAAGTTTGGGCACCGCACAAGAAACAGTTGGCCTGCTTGAGAAGCCTCGAAAGCGGCCTTGCGACAGGATCTACTTCACTGCTGCACTGATTTCCTCAAGCTGTCACTCTGCAGAAGACTCATCGAGCCACACCTGTGCTGCTTTGGTGGTACCAAACTTGACGTACCTTTAAGCTGATTGAGAGCTGCAATCTCCGTGTTGCCATGGCTCAATCATGGTTCCATCACGGCGCACGCTCTCTCATTGCTGCGATGCTCTAATGGAGGTATCCAGCATGCTGTCACCTCGCACACGCAGGGACTTTTGGGCAAGCGAACTGAGTCCATGCGTTGAGAAGAACTCGCCTCGCCAAATTGCTGGAAAAGCATCTTCAGCGCGATGCGGCTGCTGTACCTCCCATATTCAAGCACGAGCCGTGCGAGCATTGTCAGCAGTCGATTATTTTTTCAATTCTACGGCTCTACGGAGAGAGGTCACTCGGTGATGCCCTGCACAAGGTCTAAAGCTGTCGTCCCTGCAGGCATCGTTGCAGGCCTTTGCAACCACTCGGGTGCTTGACAGCATGACAAGGAGACCCCAACATGCCGTCTGCATCATCACACTTTAGGGGGCCTCCCTCAGAACATGCGAGCCTGATCTGTTGACAACGAATCAGATTCAGCCCCCGGCTTCGCTTTGGCTCCAGCTAGACCAGGAGCACATGAAGCTGCGCATGCATGTAAATCCAACACAATCCTTCACGCCAAGAAACCGAGCAATGAGGCTGGTGACAGCTGAAAATCGATGGAGGCTGCTCGCCTAGATACATGTCAAACTGCACGCCGCCTGAACGATAGGTCACCTCACGTGCTGTCTACTGCAACATGGTGTCAACTTGAGCCAGCGGTTCTCTCCCATGTTTCCGAAAAAGCAAACATGCGCAAGGGAGTCTCCAACGGCGCCGCGCTGAGAGTTGCAAAGCTTCCTTTCGTAGAGGCAAGCTGTCTTGCAAGCCAAGCAGGACAGATCTGAAAATCCCTTGATTCTCAGTCGTGTTCAAAAGGGGAGGCGGGCTGTACAGGAGCCATGCGCCCTTGAGGCTAGACTGGCAAAACTAAAGTTCAAACAGCTTCCTCTCAAAGCATTGCGAATTTGACAGGTTGAAGATGGCAAAGCTGCTCAAAGCAAAAGTGACGATATCACCGCCTGTAGTCACATGGGCAGGCTTACGCAACTCCTTGTGACAGGCTGACCACTAGCGAAGGTTTTTGACCACGGCTGGCTACGGCTCTCTTCGGATCTACGACAAAGCCCTTTTGCTAAGACCGGTGCTGCAGGGACTCGTAGTCACTTGGCACGTACCAACTCGCATCCTGCACTTTCAAGCACAGCCTCACACGGCGAAGTAACTATGCTGCCGCGCCTTTCCTTGCATGCTGCTAACGGCTGCTCCTCGGCAGGTGGAAGCGCGTCGCGTCCGCAGATATCGTCTGCGATCTTCTCTGCCATCATGATCGTAGGCCTCCGCACACTTTGTATGGGCGCTTTGCCAGCAAGGCCGGTCAGCCAAATAGACGTGACGTTTGACGTGGCACAGGACAGTTTCATGCTAATTATCCAATCTGCCACCTACTGGGATAAACGATCCAGCCCTCGCTGAGGCCGCTGCGCATTCAGGTTTCCACTGGTCATGGATGGCATTATGGATGCATCCACGATGCGCAGCTTTTCCAAACCTTTAACCCGGCCCGTCGCGTCCACAACTTTGCCCATAGCACAAGTGCACGACAAATGATATCCTGGAGGTCAAGAAGGAAACTTGTGACGCAGATGCGGGGTGTAGAGTTTAGGCAAATTTAGGCAAACAGCAATCCGCCTGAGTGACTAGAGGAGCGGATCCAGCTATCGACGGCCTCATCGGAGTCCAAATCGAGATCGGCAGGCGCGTAACGTCGCAGCTTGAATTCGCTCAGAGCGCTCTGCTCCATCAGCTCCACTGTCAATCGCAGCCCAGCACGCATATCTCTTCGGTCTTCCTCTGTGGAGAGGAAGTTAGGATCGATGAGAGGTGCATCCAAAATGTTGCCGCTACTGAGCTGGACTGTGCCACGGCTGGTCGGACGCATTGTGCCACAGTGAGCCTGGTAGCCATGCTCTGGAAGGAAGTCCAGCTGGCCGGTTACTATCCCAGGGATGAAATGATATTGCAGATCTGGGTGGCGCATGGCAGGCCGTGATCTGATGAAGCCACCCACCTCGAAATGGTTAGACGAGCCAATGCCAGCACCCGCCATGAACCAGAGCACTCCAGCATGAATGGCTCGCCATGGTTGACGGTACGCGTACTTCGATACCACACCAAGGCCCGGAAAGGTTGCGGCCCAAGGATACAACGAGCACGGGTAACGGCTCCTGAGTGTTTAAGGCTGGACATTTCACTTCTCTAACAGTACAGTTGCGACATCTCACAGATCCTAGCCAGGGCGCAGGTACTGCACGTAGAATTCAAGGTGATCTTGCAGATTCTGACCCACAGCTGGCTGGTCAAGCAGCACTGGAAGTCCTAGACGCTCAAGCTCCTTGCAGTCACAGCTGAGTTGAAATCTCACGTGTCGAGCGAGGTCTCAGGGCGTCTGAGCAAAGCGGCAAGAACCCAGTCCCCTTTGCTTGGGCAATGCGTCGTTGCAGTCCCCTGCATCCGGCACCCAACTCCACCGCACATCCCCGTTCCCCGTCGCCAGACTTCCTCACAAATTGTCCGTCACAAGCTCCTTCTCAACTTTTGTCACAGCCGCTTCGGCATTTGAAACAAAGCCCTACGGTGTTCCGACCTAGCGTATGAGAAAGAAGTCTGTGCTCTTTAGGTTGGCTGCATGCGGTCTTGCCCAACCATCCAGAATGTATAACGCCTGTAAGCTACATCGGCCCCGACTCCTCGAAAGGTTTCATGGCTTTGCATTGCTTTGGCAACGCAGCCCTATTATGCCCTCTTGCAACGGCAGGGCAACAAGATGCAACAGAGCCTTGGCGTCGCCAATGCCACTCGTCATCAGAAGCTGCGGGGAGCCAACAGCACCTCACAGTGACAGCACTGCGGCTACGGCCCTGAGGACTTTCTTAGCACAGGGCCTGCTGACAGGATGACCTCCTCGCGAGCGAAGTGGCGCTGCACAACTCCAGAGGAATCACTGTGAAAGCCGCCACCTCCGTAGGAAATGCTGAAGAGTAGCGCGGATGTGTGGGCGCACAGGGCCATGCCTCGTTTCGGCTTCGGAGAGGGAATTGTTTCCACCCCAATCACCTTGGTACCTTCGCAAATAAGGCGTACAGCCATCTGGTTCGTGATCACCTGCCAACAGCTTCTTCAGGGTTCAGCCGAAGGTCGAGTTAAGCAAAGCCTTGAGTCGCTTTCCGGCTGCCTCGTCCTCACAAGCGGCGAAGCACAGTAGCGCAACTCTGTTTGCGCATGACCTTCTCACAATGCTTTCCCGCTGCCTCTGAGTCTTTCGGATACATCAGCGGTCTCAGATAGCATTCCCATGTACTTGCCCGCTTGCCATCGGGCCTCAGTTGCGGATGGCTTGACGCAATGAAATTCCCACTGACAGTTGTTGAGAGCAAGACGTTACTGTCATGTCCATTTGTCCGAATCCTTCCTGCTGAAAGCCGTTCATGTCTTCGGTCCTGGCGAGGGAAAAGGGTAGAAGTGCTGCTGGCCCACTCTTCGTAACAAAAGAGCTTGCTCCTTGGGTATCCAGCCTTGCCGGCACAACATTCTCCAAGTTGCAACTTGGTGCGCTCAGTGTACTTCTCACTTCGAGAGGAGCCTGCTCACCGGCGGCAATGAAGGCATCGTTGATGGCCGCCACAGCCGGTGTTCTACGACGAGTCACAGAAAGTGGTCCGGACCCTGTCAGACAAGAGCAGTGAAACGATGTCTCGCCACGGTCGGAAAGTCGAACCGGCCTCCACGATACAAAGATTCGCCCTCTTGATGAGTCTGTGCTTTGCGATAGTACGGCAGGATGCTCCTTCACGATCTGGGCACACACTGTAATAGTTGATAAACCCGCCGTGACTAAAGGCATCCCGCACGGGCCTCGGACCTGGCT